TGTGAGGAGGTTCCTTCAAAATAAAGGACTGTACATTTCTTTAGTGAATGTAAACAGTTTTACAAAACAGGCTTTTAAAGTGGAATAAACCTCGTCTCAGACTTGAAAGCATTTTTCAGACTGGGCACTCTTTTAAATCTGGACCTTCCCAGTGTTACGGTCCAAGGGAGTGACACGCCCCCTGAAGACAAGATGGTGATTTTTCAGTGCTTTTTATGGCCTTGGTCTTGTCTCGATCCCTAAAGTCTTGGGTCTCGGAGCCCTCTGGTCTCGGGTATGTCTTTGACTCTGTTATTGTGGTCTTGACTACAACAGGAGTGTAAATCAAATGAACAAACACATGAAGACAGCTGAATAACCTTTTGATCATGGTGAGAAGAGAAAGAGGGTCTGGGCAGCTTTGGAAAAAAAGAAACTTTATTTGGAAACTTGATGGAGAGAAAACAGAAAGAGTTTTAGAGTTGTTCATGTCTGAAAATCAGTTTTATTTACTATAATACACAGCGGGTGACGTTCAGAGTCAGGTGGTTTGTACACCGGCGTGACTGGATGAGATCTTATCGACAAAAAAAAATTAAAGTTGATTGATTGATGAAGAAACTACAGACGGACAGCTTAACGTTTTATCATCTAGCAGCTGCTGAAACCCCTCCCCCCATTACCCTCCCCCACTCGTCTAAAAACTTGTCCATCAGAGCGCTGTTGGCTCCGGCCCACTCGTCTCCTTCGCTCCCTTCGATGTGCCCTCCCATGTCCCCTTCTGTCCTAAATCATAAAACACTCAAATGGACTTTTGGCTGCGTTCCATTCTGAATATTTGTCTTCTTAAACTCACCCCGTGCCCTCCGTTTCACATCTCAAAGGGAAATTATTTCTCATCTGTCAGCGGCGAGTCCTGTTCCAGACACGTGTCCCCTTCAAAGTGTCCTTTAGAGTCCCATAAATCAGATTAGGGTCCGTGTTCAGGACGGGTTTCTGGCTCCGTTTCAGCGCCATCTTTCCTCAAAATCACAAGTGTTGCTTTTATTCCTCTGATGCTGAAGGTTATTTGGAAGTAATTCATTTAAAAACTGCAGACTCCACATGTTCAAATATCTTCTTTGGCCAAATCAACAACCAAAACAATGCCAATTATGAATTTCTTAAAGACAAATGACGGCGCAGTTTTGCACTTTAAGGTTTAAAAATCTAAATCTACACGTCTTCATCAGACACACGGGATGTTTAAAAAGATAATTGAATAGAGAATCTCCTTCTGACCTTATCTGGAGATGCTTGCAAACACATTAGAAACAGTCTTGTAAGAATCAAGTATCAAGTGAGGACACAGGAGACACACATCCAAAATGAAACATACCCCCCTGCACATTTTGAGGTTTTGGACTCTTCCCCCCCCCCCGTCGCTGACGTTCATCGAAACGACAACTCGGACAAATTTCAGGAGGAAACAGAGCCACGCTCGCTGGGTTTGATGCTTCCTAAAGGGATCATTTCTAAGTTTGTGCATCCTCAACTCGTTTCCTTGCTCCCTCTCCTAGGATCTTAGGACGCAACACAAACATAGAAGGGGGAGACAAAATATATTTAAGTAAATCTCTGGAGCATTAAATTAGGTTGTTCTTCATTTTTTTTGTGCTGTTTGAGACCGACAGTCTTTGTAAAAACAGATTTATTTTAAATATGTTCGCCTTTCTTTTTTTATCCATCAAGGGGGCGTGCTGAGTAGGTGTTGTTGCGACCTCTGTATCCTTACTCACAGCTCCTATCTCCTCCAGAAGCATTTTAGGAACTTAGAAATCTGCCTTTTTTTTTTTTTTTTTTTTAAGGAAGCCTAAGATCTCCGGGTCACATGCAGGAGGAAGGAGGAGAAAGGAGAGTAGGAGGTATGAGACAGAGGAATGAGGAGCGCCCAAGGTCACTTCACCAGGGAGTAGGGAGCATTCAGGACAAGCTAACGGGAGGACGTAGATTATAACTGAAACGGCGTCTGAGAGGGCGGTTAATTACTGCAGGGTGATTTGCAGGCTCGTGTTTGTGAACGCAACATTCAGAATATGAGGAAAAGAGCGAGTCACGAGACGGAGCGGCGAGTTAAAGTCAAAAAAGTGGTGATTAAGAGAAATAAAAACAGTGCTGTGCCTAGAAAAAAGACAGCCATTGTCACATGCACGTCCGATGGGTTATTACTGCATGATTCTTTAAGCTGACGATCCGACTCGGTCTGCCTTCAACAATCACAGCTTCACTTTGTGTGAGAGGAAAGATAAAAGCTGATGATTTGATTTTGTCTTTTCCTTTGGAGTTAAAAAAAAAAAAAAAAGAGAATCCCAGGGCGAGCAGCAGCTTGGGTTTGGGCTTTTAAAGTTTCATTTGAGATGATCTGCAACGACTCAGAATCAAAGTGGATTTCATCAGACCCTTCTGAGAGTCTGAGTGAAATCTTTCTTTCAGGACGGATTCAGAGACTGCTCTGAGTTTGTGCCTCTCATCCAGCGAGCTGAACATTTTTATCAGAGAGGTCAATCCCCGACCTCATTTCACACTCGACATCGAGTTGTTTTCAAACTCGTCTGTCCGTGTGAAGAGAATAATATTCCATCAGGTGTTTGTGATCTAAAGAATGTTTTGTTTGAGTTATCAGTTTAACTTTTAAAGGTCACATATTCTCTTCCTCTTCTTCAGTGTAAATAAGTCTCAGAGCTCCTCAAATCATGTCTGTGAAGTTTCTTGTTCTAAATCCACTCTGATCCTGTATGTGATCATGTCTATACACTCCTCTATTTCAGCCCTGCTCAGAACAGGCTGTTTCTGTGTCTGTACCTTTAAATGTAAATGAGCTGTGTCTGACCACGCCCCCTCTCTAGAAGGGCTCGGGTGTCTCAGGCTTTCTCGTTCCATGCCCGATTGTTTACGGTTACAGCTGATGGAATATTTTCAAACCACACGGACAGAAGAAGAAAAACCTTTGACATCCTCGTGAGGTCAGGGGATTTACCTCCAAGAAAAACAGAATTTAAATATTAATAAAAGACCTTTAAGGCCTCAGAGGAGACGTTTACAGTTTAACCTCCTCGTTGACTTTTCCTCTGCCCTCGCTCTGCCTCGGAGCGTCATCGATGAAGTAAGCGACGAGGGATTTCTGCTTTTCGTCTTTGCATCAGAGCCGAAGAAAATCCAATATTTTAACCCCTCCCCTCCCCTCTGCACACACACACACATGCTCGCTCGCTCGCTCGCACGCACACACAAAAAGACGATGGTTTGAGTCACACCATCAGGACCACAAAGAAATATGATTATAGCTCGAGACAGATTATACAGTCCAGTACCCCGTGGTATTTCACTAAATCAGCAAACTCTGCTGCTGATAATTTCATATATATATATTTATACTTTCATATACTTCTTTCCTCTATTTAGGGAAAACTATTTGACATTTAACCAAAAATATGATATAAGAGTCGATTTGTTGCATGACAGAAAAGAAAGGTGAGAACAACATTTCAGTGGAAATGTTCCCCGTGAACCGAGAGAGAGAAGGATGCAGATCAGAACGAGAGCTCCTTTACACTTTCAAAGTTTTCATCTCTTTTTTTTTTCTTTTTTTTCTTTTTTTACTCTAAAGTTCTTTTTCTTTAAGTGGCAAAACAGAGACATGCAAAGTTTTAGTTTCCAACAGAACAACAGAAACAGAAAAGAGCGGGGAAGCGTCCTCCTCAAGGCGGAGGAAGTAATCCAACACGGAAGACGCGCGGTCCTCGAACCCAACAGACGTAGTGGTTTCCTCCATCATGTGCCGACACGGAGGGGTCAGAGGTCGTCCTCTGCAGAGATCAGGGGGAGTCAGTCGTTGCATTAAGAGTTAAAGAGACAGTTTGGCTGTAAAGTCTGATTCTGATTTGATTCCCTCGTCGATCCCTCCTTCCCTCTGAGGAGAAGGTGCACATTGGCGGTAACACAGACCTCAGGTCAGTTTACACACATCATCGTCATCACACACACACAAACACACTTAGACGTTAAAAAAGGATATTAAAAAAGAAGAATCCAAATGATAAAAACTTAAAGGACACAAACAGTCGTGAAATTGGCTCGAGGGACCTTTGACACAAATCGTGCATGTGCTGTCCTGTCCTGTAGGGGCGCTCATATGTTGTGTCATTTTCATTTCTTTTTTTTTTTAATCCAGAGCTTCCTGCTGCCCACACCTTTAAAAAAAAAAATCCACATTTTTCTTTCTCATTGAGTTCCCAAATGCACCGTTTGTTTGTGAGCCTGTTAGGCGTCGAGAGAAGAACTCTTCCTCTCGTCGACATGAAGAAGGGGAAGAAATGTTTTTCTGTGCTGAAATGTGGAGCTCTGCTGGAAAACTCCGAGAATTCTTTCAGCCAACAGAAAGTAGAGGAACAAGTCAGTGGAGTATGTCAGGAGTCGGTCAGTCAACGAGTGTCGAGGGATTGAATGTTTGAGTTGCAGTCGTGGGGGCGAACTTCCCTTTTCTCTTGTGTGGGAGCAGAGGGGGTGGGCTGGGTTTAAGGGGGGCTTGTGTGCTATTCATCAGGCTAAGGTAAGAGGAGAGTCTTTTTTATTTGCTCACCACGTATCTAAGAATCCCAGAGTCCATGTCAGACCCTGCTTATCGATTACTGTTGTCGCTATGTGCCAAATCAAATCAGTTCATTCATCGGCTACTTCAGCCTTCGTGTCTTAAAAGGGCAAAAAATTTGTTCCAAAAGGTGACGTCTGATTGCGATTCTCTAATCCAGGATTTACCTCGATCTCACAGATTAGGTTTAATCCAACAAACGCTCGACGTGTCTCTAAACCCCGGAGCTCATCACCTCAAAGTCGCTGACAAACAGCTGCTGCTCATCCCCAAATCTCATTCAGGTTTTTTTTTTTTTTTTTTTTTTTTTAATTTTGTTTGAACAGTCGAGCAGCGTTTTGCAGAGCAGAAGACGGCTTCCATCGGCGGCTGGCAGCTCACACAAACATCCCAGACGTCTTTTCCCAGCATGCTCCTGTGGCTCTTAGATGAGTGGGTCGGGGTGCAGGGTGTGTTGGATCTGCTGCGGCTGCAGAGGCGGCGGCAGCTGCAGCGGGAGCAGAGCCTCCACCATGTTGTGGCAGTGCGGCGGCGGCGTGCCCTCGCTGCTGGAGCTCTCGGCCACCTCGCCGCCGTGGAAGAAGTAGTCGCTCTGCACGATGAAGGACTCGATGACGGCCTGGTTCAGCTTGGTGGTGGACAGCGTGTCTTTGTTCTCGAAGTCGGGCCGCATCAGCGTGGGCCAGAAGCAGATGGACAGGTTGTCGGGCGTCATCAGGGTCAACTTACTGTGCTGGCTGACCCTGCAGGACGAGACAGGAAACAAAACGTTTACAGAAACATCAACAGTATTAAACGAGCGTGCTATACACTGGGTTGTACAGTGATGACCAGCCGGCCCTGTCAGGACGTCACAGAGCGGAGGCACTTTAAGCTCCATTATGTTGGTGTTTGTCTCCTGGCTCAGTGAACGGCCTTCACACGTGGACTAAACTTGATTTATGACCACAAACACTGACTGCTGGTCGACCTATAGGAGGTGAAGTAAATATAATGTGTCCTCTGAAGTGAAGGCGCGGGTGAGTGATGCTGATCAGGTCTTTGTCAGGGTGTGTTTACAGACTCGCTCAGCAGCCAGCTGATGTTCTCAATCAATATCTGATGAAGTGTGACAGCGTGATTAGAGAGCGCTGATGTATCGCTGAGTGAAGAGCACGATGAACAGTCCGTCTCTGTTCCGAGGAGTGAGTTATGATTATTTCATCAACTCAAGAGAACTCCGGCATGTTCTCACAAAACAGAAATGCTTCACGAGTCATCGTAACTGCAGGACGTGTCAAACATTTAGGGTTCAGATGAGCTGCTGCAAACACTCTCGATGTCACATCTGAAATGTTTACGTCCTGCAGAGAATCACATGGCAGTTTGTAAGCCAAATGAAGTCTCCCGCTGTGATGTGTTCACTGTCATCGGGTAAATTTGAATGTCGAGGTGGTTTAGATGCTGCTGGAGCTCCACACTGAGGATTTAACTCCAAAACACACACACACACTGATGTGTGTCTGATCTGTTTTGTGCGCTTACTGAACATGTGATAAGTGCATCTAAGCCCTGCGTGTGTGTGTGTGTGTGTGTGTGTGTGTGTGTGTGTGTGTGTGTGTGTGTGTGTGTGTGTGTGTGTGTGTGTGTGTGTGTGTGTGTGTGTGTGTGTGTGGTGTCTTACGTGTTGAGGTGTGTGATGATGTATTTGAAGACCTGGTAGTTCACAGGAGGAAACTTCTTCACGATCTCCCGCAAAACCAGCAGACGCTCGATGTAGTCCACGATTTCTGACACACACACACAAACAGACACACACACAGGGAAGAGAGAAGACAGAAGGTGTTTTATAGTTTACACACACTCTCTCTTGGGAAAGGAAATGATACTCTCTGGAAAGACAAAAGGCTGCGATGCTGCCAAGAGGAACTCCCACGCTGTGCGCACACACTCTCAGTGACCCGGCAGCGCGGAGCGACGTGGGCAGACACCATACGAGCCTGCACCGCGTCTTATTCTGCACCCGTTACTAACAAAACAAGTCCCATTTTACAGGCCGACACAGTGAGCACATCTGTGCATCACAGCCACAGCTGAACAGAGCACGCAGCACTTCTTCTCAGACGACTTAATTGTCTGATATCGGACATCTTTGTCAACAACTTTCCATCCCATCTTCTGTTTATTGACGCCACTCTCACTCATTTCTGTAAGGGGATTAATCTCCTTATCAGTACAGACCAACAGGACATCGTTTTTGTGATTGCAACAAACTGAGAAGTGCGACAATTTTGAGAAATGACGGGTTTGGCATTAAGCCGGAACAGATGGCTGCAGAAAGTTTGTCTGTTGAAACAAAATGTAACATAGAAGTGGCCTGCTGTAGTTTATTTCACCCAATGCATCGTCACAAAGTTACAGCCAGCAGGTCGGTCATAGGATGCAAAATTTGCAGACAGGTACTCGTTACTTAAAGGGATACTTTAAAAATTTGCATTAAGCTCTGTATCATTAGAAACTTGGTAGTATTTTTGAATGGTCGTGCATCCCACCCTCATTTTCCCGAGACGGGAAAGCTCTCTATTTCTTGTCTGAAAAGGAGCCTCCGATGATGCAGAGCAAGGGTTAAACTACATCGCTAGTTTCTCATGCTTTTCAACCTGCCCACATGGGGCGGGACCCACTGAAGCTATAGACCTATCACAGATCAGTGGGTGGGACCTCAAAAATGCAACGTCCGCCATCTTGCTTGGAAGCTATGCTAACAGGCTTTATGGAGAAAGCTGAGAAGACAATGGAGGAAAGTATGTTTCAACTTCAAACTGATATGGATGAAGAGGATTTTGAAGGTCTTGTGCTCCAATCGGATGTTTGTGGATCGGATGATCTCCACAAGCCGCAATATAGCGACGAGCAGTTGAGGCTGATGGAGGAACAGGAGGTTGCTGCTGTGCATTCTGGGATTTGGTGTCTTTCATCCACATGAGACAAAAAGACATTTTCTGCCTTTTCTCAGTCAAGAAGGCACCAACTTCAAAATGTATTTCACATTTCTACGATATATATGACCCAATGTCAATACAGATTCATGTTTCAACAGGTGAAGTATCCCTTTAATAACTAGTGGAATCCGGCGTTACTTTGTCAGCACAATGCACCGAGTCCAAAGCAGTGAGGAAGAACCGTGTCCTCGGTTTAATTGCTGAGGAGAAGGTGTTGGAGCCTCGTTCAGTCGGTGATCACACTCCTGTGTTAGTGCATTAAAAAAAATCCACCCGGTTAGCTCCTGCAGGTATCTTTGCATCGATTGAATTACCTGTTTAGCTGGAAAGCTCACAGTGATGAACAAAGACTTTGAGGTTTCATGCAGGCTGAGGGGGGTTGGGTTGGGGGGTTGGGGATCAGAGGATAATGGTTTCTGTATTATCAGGCCGAGTTGGAGAGCATCCTCAGGAACGGGATGTCAGCGTGGTACGATAATCTCTCCTGAACTCAAATCTAAGTTTACTTGTCTGGTGCAGAGTCAGAGAAGACAGTAGGTCTGCATCTACACCCCTCTTGAGTCAGAGTGACATGAAGGTTATGAGGACTGAAAAACCTCGTCTGTTTTTTAGGCAGGCACAGAGAGTTGTCTCTTGAGCTCTTACCAGCTGGCAGACGATACAGAGTCCGCCGATGCATTTCATTCTGTTTCTACAAAGCTTTTTCAAACAGAAGACGAATACCTTACAGCGAGGAAGAGAAACTTCTCGTGGTTTAAAATAATTCATTTTGTAAAAAAGAAAATGTAAAATTAATAACAATTAGAGAAAGAAAATGAGCAGGTCAAAAGAATACAGCGAGAAGAAAAAGTGTGCCATCTTCATCCAAAGATTTCTTGATTTCTTTAAAGTATTTACTGTGGAAAAAGGTGAGAAATGTAAACAGGAAGTTGTTCAGCTGCTGATGAGCGATATATTTCAAAATACGTATGAAGAGGAAAACATGGCCGCCAGAGGCTGCCGTTATGTTTAAAGTGTTTAGATCTGAGTAAGAAAAAAAGAGACAGAAAGCAAATAAAGAATAGAAAAGCATGCGTCTGTATTCCTGAAAAGTAAACCGTCTGTGAGGTTCCTCGATATTCCTCGTCCTCCCCAGAGAGACGCTCACTTCCCCGCAGGCGAAAGCCCGTTGGAGCTGAAACGCTGCTCTCGCTTCTTCCGTCATTAAATATTTAAAGAGTAGATATGAAACACAAGCTTCTCCCGCTGGAGTGTCACAACAACGCTTCTTTGACACAACCCCGACCTGCATTCCCTGACTGGAGTATTCTCCAGGAGATTCCAGGACCAGGAGAAAGTCAATTTAAATCCTCTAACCGGGCGAGAATCGAGATCTATTCACGGCGATCGTCATCAATCATCTTAACGAGGAGCCAACGGGCGCCTGTGACCCTCTGACGGCTGTAAGAGCTCAAAGGTCTCCATTACAAGCTGCTCCATAACTCAGCGTTCACCAGAAACATCAAATTAAGAAACCACAGCGCCGATTTAACGACTGAAACTGATTTCATCAGATAGGAATCAGTGTGGTGGGAAACGCGCCGCAGGCTTTACTGATTGTCTTCAATCTAACGGCTTTAATGCGATTATTAAATATGACTGGTGAGTTAATGATTTCATTTTGTGAAACTCTAATATTAGAGAGAAAAATTAAATGAAAATTGACTTTAAAATGTTTTTTTTTTGAGTGTGCGTAGTTGTGTTGGTGCCGTACCAGAATGTAATGTAAAGTTTGATATGATGGCAGTAAAATAATAATATAAACGTCTGTTTGGAAACAACAGCAAACACATGAGAAATCCTAAACCTCTTTTCCACCAAAGGTAAACCTGTGACTAGTTCACGGGCGGTGCTAGTTCTGTGAACAAACGGTCTGAGTAACCATTACTGCACACGTCTCATGAAACAGACGTAGTTAGCATCGAAACGTTTTGCTACTTTTCGTTGCTATCGATAATTTAGATTACAGTTGTTAAATGTCAGAGAATTAAGTATTCACATGGACACCTGGATCTTTTGAAAAGAGTCTTTAAAATCCTCCACCATGAGCAGCATCTACGTGTTCACAGCTACAGTGAGCGGGTGAGAATACAGAAGAATCAAGGAAACAAAAAGGAGACTGAACATCTCAGAGAACTTTATCTTGACCTCAAAACGGCTCCTGAACACAAAGACAAAAAGGTCTTGCACCATCCCAGGTTTATGATTTCAAACAGTTTGTTGCAGATCCACAGAGTTATTTTTTATGCTTTTTCATCTGTTGTGTTTTTGGCAGCTTCAGATTCAGCACAGCCGGTTCATCCTCTGCATCACAAACAGCGAGAGGAGGACGACGGCTCCATAACACGATCAGCACCTCATCAAATTCTTCCCCACTCTGCACAAACACACTGCTCACTTTCTCTTTGCTCTATTTGTTTTCTTTGTGCTGGCAGGAGAAACTTGAGCTTTTTTAACATCAGTCCTAAATATTCCTGAAGACATAAATGACTGAAACGTATTTCTCTGTGCAGGAAAAATCCCAGGAAAGTGTTGGAGATTATAAACGAAAACTTAAGTCATTCAAGCACTCCCATTTCCTACATTTACCGGATCTGTATTTGATATCAATATGATGTAATATGATGTCAGGGCTTCATGTCACAAAGACTGCAAGCGTGAACCTTGTGGTCGTATTCTTCAATCCGTCTTATGTGCCCTTTTCCAGACAGCGGATGTAAAAGTTCCACATGAAGTCAGGTAAGTCCACGTGTAAAAATTGGGCGAGTTGACGGCGTATATATCCTGCGATCACTCACGGCCGTGCGTTTTTTTTTTTGCACGTAATGAAGCTGAAATAAGGCTGTCATCATTGCATCAGACTCTCTTGTTTTGTCCGCCATCTTGGATGTGTTTTGACAGTTACCCCGGTCCTTTCCAAAAAGCCACAGTTCAGTATGGAGTGCAGCCTTTCAGGAGACTGAACATTTCAGCATGGATGCTAACTTCCGGGTTTTGTGCAGTATTTTACTGTCAGAGTGTGGAGGCAATTCAGAAGAGACCCCTGACTTTCATGGTGTCCGTTTTACATCTTGCCTCGTGAGAACCCCCCTCCCCCTCCCCCATCCCCAATCCCCATCCAACGGGGGAACTGTCCCGCTACGAGGAACACGTCTGAAACAGAAGCTCAGGAAGACTTCAGGGGCAGGACTGAAATGTTCTGTATTTTCAGGAGAATGTTTGAAAATGTCAAATGCCTAAAATCTTAAATAGAGTAACAATGCACAAATCTGAGAAGGAGGAAGAGAAGTAAGTTTAGATGAAGAGCTGAGGATGAGAGAAAGAGAGACAGAAATTAAGGAAGAGGAAGCTATATTTGACTCAGAAGAAGAACAAGCACTTCCTCTCTTCTTTCAGTTTCAGACGCTCGTTAGAGAGAGTGTGCATGTCTTCTTTTTACATTTCTCTTCTTGTGTTTGTGAACGTATTTCAGGCTCATTAATCTGCTGTCGTCAGCCTGCTGGTTTCAGCTTATACAAAAATCAGGAAACACAAACACACAGAGACAGTGACACACGCACGCACCTGAATCTCTGTGCGTGTGTGTAAACTTAAATAACCTCTACAGATCAGAAGACAGAAAACACAAGATGAAAAGTGTTTATTCATTATTATTTTCTAATCTTCTCCAAATTTAAATGAACAGGTTTTTGAGCCGCCTTCACCTTTTCAGACTAATGAACTTCTCAGAACTTAAAATAAGCTTAATGACATTTTAAAGAAAGTCCGGTGGTATAACCTTCATGTGTTTTTTTAAAGGATCCATTCAGAGATTTATTTTGAAGGGTACGATGCTGAACAGCTGTTACATCACTCTCTTCTCAAAGCCGCCAGACTCCATTGACAAAAACATCAATTTAATGTAGCAAACACAGGAGATATATGAGTGTTGGGATAACTTTCTGAGCCTGACAGCTGGATATCAAAGTGGACATACTTTGATCAGCTGCTCCCCCTCCCCCTTAAGGATTACGATGCAGCCATTACAGCCTGTTTTTTTTTTCTCAGTTGCAGACTGAAGAAATCCAAACCTGATATGTACCTGATAAACATTCAGGCCCAGACACGTGTACATATAGTGCCCACAATTCAAAATAACAGAATCACTCTTTAAGCTATGTGCTCTGGAGCACTGGTGGCCTAGTGGTTTGTGCACATGCCCCATGTATGGAAGCTATAGTCCTCCAAGCGGGCGGCCCATATCGAATCTGACCTGTGGCTCTTTTCCCGCATGTCACTACCACACTCTCGATTTCTGACTCTATCTTGTCCTGTCTCTAAATAAAAAGGCATAAAACGCCAAAAATGAACTGTTCAAAAAATACCAGGAATCTTTATATTCAAGATTAAAGTCAGGACTAGGAACCTTTAGGAGGAACTTACTGTGTAACTGCTGGGGTTCCATCCCCAGCGCTCCTGCAGCCACACTGCCAATGTGTCCTTGGGCAAGACACTTAACCCCATCCCATTTCCCATTCACCATGAAAAATTGAATAAATATGAGTCAGTTGTGGTTACTTTTCTTGACCTAACACAGACTTACAACAGGTGGAAGGAACCTTTGAGGCATTAAAGTTAACCCGGGATTGAAAGTTCTGTGTACTTTGGAGGAAGACCAGCCTCGAGGGATTTATGGCGTCAGGTGTTATCTCAGATCATAAGATTATGTTTGTGTGTTAGTGTGTTAATACTTACTTGCGGCCTCCACCAGCTCCGGGTGCAGGCTGTAGGGGATCAGCGGGTCGGGCAGGTCTGCAAAGAACGCCTTCAGAGCTCCGGCTGCAGCGTTCACCGCCACGTCCATCACCACGAAGTCGATGCTGTGATCTGCAGAGGGAAACACAGAGAGAGAGATGGATTTAACTTTCACAGTTTGCAGCAGATTCACTGGTTTATTTTTCAGGACTTGTGTCCGTTGTTTCAAAGCATCATATCAGGCCACTGAGTACAGAAACTGTCAACCACTGCGTCACCAAGCACGGTGGGCTTTTCAGCAAGAGAAAGGAGAAATTACTGAAATAATGAAAACTGAAATCAGAGTTCATCTTTGCATACTGGGGCCCTTTAAGAACCATGTTAATCCTGACTAGCTTTGGAGTAGTACTTTCAGACCTCGGTCCAATAAGCCATGCTGATCCATTCAGTTATGGGATTTCCCTGGTTCAATGCTTAAGTTCGAAAGGATATCAAAGAGCTTGTGAGGAGCCGTGCCTGCAGCAGCGAGGCTCACAGCGGAGCTTTGTGTCTGAGCCGGAGAACAGAGCTGCTCTCTGATCACAGCTAACAGAGGTTATCATCATCGGTCTGTCTGCAGGCACAGAGGCCCGAGTGTTTCTGTGACGGAGCGGCGAGGCTGGAGAGAATACACTTTCAGTTCCAAACAATCGTTTTTCAGCTCGGTCAACACAACAAGGAAGCTCCAACTCCAGAGCATCACTTCAAGTACATGTAGTGTTTGAAAGAATAATGTTTAAGTTTAATGAGGCACAGAGGCCCGAGTGTTTCTGTGACGGAGCGGCGAGGCTGGAGAGAATACACTTTCAGTTCCAAACAATCGTTTTTCAGCTCGGTCAACACAACAAGGAAGCTCCAACTCCAGAGCATCACTTCAAGTACATGTAGTGTTTGAAAGAATAATGTTTAAGTTTAATGACCAAAAAAGACGAGCAGAATGTAGATTCAGATCTGAACAAACATCAGACCGCTGTCGGCTGTCCCACTTTAAGTTAACTTTGATTTTACACTTTCACAGCACAGACTTTCAGGTACTAAACATTTCGATCCTGTTGTTTGCTTTGGCTGGCAGCGACAGAAACAGGATGTAATGGCTGCAACATAAGTGGCTGCGTTCACAGGCAGCTTTTTGTCAGTACAAAACCAATGTAGTTCATTTCCCTTAGCGCAAAAAAACGCCCTCAGCATCAGCCGTTTATTGTCACTGCGATCGCAGCGTTCTCAGTTGAAAACGGTTCAACTCATCAATGTCACTTGTCCCTCACAGACCAATCAGAATCAAGACGGGCGGGACTTGCAACATCAGCTTTGTCAATAAAAAAAAGCGGAGGAGAAGCTAGTGTGACTCGTCGTTTCCAGGGAGAAGTTTCCAGGTGTAGATCTGCTGCTGCTGAGAAGCGTTCTGAAACAAAGGTCATGAGCACCTCCAGCGCCGTCTGTGGACACAGACCTTGATCCTTGTAAGAACTTGTGCAGGTTGTTCATTCAGGGCCTGTTTGGTGGGTATATGTTTGAGCTTTTCTTTGGATGTGTCCCATGAATCAGCCTCTGGGTTTCAAACCATAAGCCAAGTATTTAGTTTGTGAAAATGTGCACCGTGAAAATTCATCATGCATCGTTCCTGTTTGCACTGGCACCTCGATAAGTACAAGCACTTATCCCTCTGTCGACCTCTGAACATGACGATTATGAGATCATTTCTTTGCAGCCAGTGGTCACCGCTGCTGATACAATCTCACAGAGCACTTCCCCCTTAAAACACCTGTGATCAAGGTAAGATGACATGACGAGTAATGATGGCTTTTAAGGGGATCAAATTCACCCTGCTACCAGAGAGATACCGAGTGCAAAATAAAATCCACCACTTCCTGTTCTGACACACTGCAACGGCCAAATGACGACAGGAAGGAGGAGAAACAGGGAGGAGCGGAGGGAGAGAGAAAGAGGACAGAGCCCTGAGGTAACATGGCAGCTGTCACACCGAATCTGAACGCCTGCCAACACACACACACACACACGCTGAGTTTACCAGAAATACTCTCAAGGAAATAAAGACATATGAGGGGGGGGCAGTGAGGAGAGAGATATAAACAACAGGAAATGCACAAGTGGATAAAAGTAGGACAGAAGGGGGGAGGAAGATGGGAGGGAAGAGGGACGAATCTAAGAGGCGTAAAAGGGTGGAGAGAGATTGGGGGGGGGGGGGGGAGGAGCTGTTGCTTAATGAAGTTTGCTAATGAACAGCCAAACAAATGCTGCCTCAGCCCAAACTGTTAATGAAGCAGAACCTCGAGTGACCTCATGAATCCCAGAAGAAAACCATCATCACTCTGCTCCGCTCGCCAAGATAATTCATTTCCCTTTTCCACTTCCTCCATTAAACTCACATGCAGCTTCTTTAGTGATGCAGCCCGCAGCCCATCTGACACAGCAACTTATGCACTATAATGCTGTTTGGTTTTTTCCCCACATACGTACAGATATGAGCTGCAGCAGATGTGTGTGCAGAGTTTAAAGAGGAATATACAACCAGCAAAGACGACTACAGCAAGTCTTCATGGGAAAAAAAACTACAGGTTAATAAGACATACTTTAGTGAGTCTGCATAGAGTCTAACTAAACGGAAACCTTCTGCAGTATTTCATTAGTTCCCTGATATGAATCATTTTACGCTTATTTAAAGGGTTTAACTTTGTCCTCTTGTGTCGTGTGATTGGCTGCGTTTTTAAAACCGAGGGGAAGAAAAAGGAATCACAAAATGACTCTGCTGGGAGAAAATCAGATGCCATCACCAGAAGGTGTTTATGTTCCACACTTTTGGACACTTCTTCTCACGTTCCTCTCCTTATATTAACAGTTATTCAAACATTTCTCACAGAAGCTCACCTGACTGTAAAGTGCTCGCCCTGCGGTGTTCTCTTCGAGGTCGTGTTGTAGTACTCAAGACCGGTCTCGAGACCACTTTATCATGATCTCAGTCTCCTCTTGGAAGCGTTTTTTAATCGATCTTGTCTCGGTCTCAAACTGGGCAGAATCCGGATTTTAAATAAAGACCGATCAAGACCACCACTGACAGTCTATTTTTCACGGCTGTGATTAAAAAGAAAACTCCTCTTTCTAAAAAAACAAATAACTTCAATCAATTTATAGTTTGATGACATTACGGAAAGAATCCCTACATAGATAGAGCCTTTTCCCTAAACCTCTGTTACACCAGATTCCAGGACAAAAACTGACATTTGACCTCCCGTAGCCTCGCAGCTACACGTCTACCTCTGGCCTGACCGGTCAGTTTGTTTGTGTACATGGTGAGTTTAGAAGAAACACAGTATTTGTAAAACACAAACAACCAAGCTGGTCAACACAGTGATGGATGGGTTACATGTTGATGCAGTCTGGGGGCTTTGAGATGGCATTTTAACAAAGGTGGCTTTCTGATATTTTTAGATACTAAACATAACAATCAGAGTGTGTAGGGGCCAAAAACAAACAGACTTTGATCTGACACAATCGACCCAAAGCATTACACTGCAGGGATTCAGTTTCACAAGGTGCCGGTTTAAGCAATCTACAGGAGTAACTGTGAACCTCTTTGTACCTTTAAATCATTTTGACCCAGAAATATGTAGAAATAATCATTCAGATAAATATGCAGAAACACAAACCAAGGTTTTAAAAACGCTGAAATTCTCCTTAAAAAGGACTTCAAGGAACTATAGTACACATGTTCATTCCTGCAGAGTGATTTTTGACTTTATGAATAGCGTGATGCTTGTTTTCTGCTTTAAAGGTCATATTATTCTCCTCCTCTTCAACCAGTTTAAGTAAGTGTCAGAGCTCCTCCAAACATGTCTGTGAAGTTTCTTGTTCTAAATCCACTCTGATCCTGTATTTGATCATGCCTATAAACCCCTCTATTTCAGCCCTGCTCAGAACAGGCTGGTTCTGTGTCTGTACCTTTAAATGTAAATGAGCAGTGTCTGACCACGCCCCCTCTCTGGAAGGGCTTAGTTGGCTCGGGCTTTCTCGCTCCATGTCCTATTGTTCACAGTGAGAAGGCAGACTCAGAGGGCAGAACAAACACCTAGCTGTGGGAGTGTCACCCACCTGGGGGAGCGGTTACTGCCCTTTGTGATGTCATGAAGGGAACATCTCCTAACGGCCTGTTTGAGCACATTTCATGAAAAGTGGAGCAGGCAAAACACATAGAGGATGGACTTTTCTCATCATTGGGGGGTTTGTAGACAGACTAGAGACACATATTAGAGTTAGAACAACATGGTGAAGTGGATTTAAGGACTCTTCATGTTAAGACTTTTTAAACGCATACTGAGGCGATCTATCTTAGCATTTGTGAAATAAATTAAGAGTAATAGGAGAGGAAATTAAAGGATCAATAATCAGCGTGGGAGTGAAAAAACAAACCAGCTCATTTCATCTCAGTCCTGTCTCCATATTTCAGCGCCTGGCTGTAAAATGACTGACACGGCTGAGTGTGTGTGCTGGTGAATTCACATTCCTGTGGTGACTTTATTTATTCTAACAGCCGGTTTGGCAGCTCACCAGCCCTCATGTGCAGGTTTCACCGAGCTCCACAGGGCATGTGTTTCTCTTTAAGAACTTCTGCCGCTCGCTCGGCTTTGGACTTTCTCCGCGGGGTCAGATTTATTACACACATCACACAAACGCTACTTGGTTGGTAACATACTGAGCGGAGTTCTTAGAAGGCATAATTTTAAGTTCATGGGAAAATAATTTAGAATCACGATGTGTGAAAATAACGAGAACCGCCTGCCTCAGTGCTTTGAAACTTCAGTTCCACATGTGCTGCTCCTGAGAGTGTGTTTGTGAGGCTGTGCAGGGAGCATGTGGCTGCGCAGGTGTGTCTCACCTTGATCAAACTGTTTCTGGATGTTGTCCTGGTCCGTCTTGTTCCCACTGACACGGTACAGCCCTTCTGTCGACAATCCTGCAAACACAGACACACCTTTGGTTTAGTGAGACGATAACAGTGTTCCAACTTTTGAATTTAAAACAGATTGGCCAACGGGAGCAATAATAATAGGATTCAGATCAAGTGGTTTTCTGTTTCCACATGCAGAGATTTTAATGGATTAAAACTTTCATAACATAAATTACAAAACAAAAAAAGGACCTTTTTCTGAATTTTACTCGTTCGGTCTTTAAGCTCTTTTTCAGTTTTCTCTCATTAAAATCTTGATAATTATTGATTTGCTCTGCAGATTTTAGATGTTTTGGGGGCTTTTTATGTCTTCATGGTAGAGAAAACACCCTAACTTTCATCCTTTGCAACCTCTCCAAAATAAAAGTACAGACATCAGGCAGTCAGGCGTCTGCAGCAACAATGACATGAAAAGAGCAAACAAACAATTTAGCTTGTTTGTGTTTTTGAGCCTTCTGCTGATTCGTGAGCGTCTCTAACCATAAATATCACAACCAGCTGGAAGCTGACAGCTGATCCCAGACCAGCACATATGGAGTCGGAGGATCTTAATTAGGCTCTAATGTGTGTTCAGACACACACACACAATACAGGTTGTGTTCTGCTCTGTTGCTGCTGCAAGGTCACCCACACTGCAGTATAGGTGTGTGTGTGTGTGTGTGTGTGTGTGTGTGTGTGTGTGTGTGTGTGTGTGTGTGTGTGTGTGTGTGTGTGTGTGTGTGTGCAGAGGCAGCAGTTAAGCATAGACAGTATTATGTAAATTCAGTTTTAATGGATTCCAGTAAATTGTGTCAAGTGTGAGCAAGTATGGGAGCGTGTGTGCGTTTAGTGGTATCAAGGTGTTTATCTGAGACTCCTGTGTTTTTATGATTAATGTGTGTGTGTGTGTGTGCGCGCGTGTGTGTGTGTCTGTGTTGACTCAGGTGGGCCACAGAACACTTTGTCTTGGCTCTTAAGTTTAAAGAAATCTGAGGAAAGCAGCGTTTTTTTAAAGGGACCTTGCTGCAATCATCAGCCCACTTGACTTACTTTGTGTGTGTGTGTGTGTGTGTGTGTGTGTGTGTGTGTGTGTATATAGCTGAAAAAAACCCACTAAGTACAAAGTGGGTGGAAAGCCAATTAAATGTTTGCTTCTGAATATTCAACATGTTAAGATTTCTAAATTTGCACCGAGCTGAAACCTCAGGTTTAGAAGCCAATACAAGTTCCAAAAAACCTGCAGTTCCTCAAATGTCCACTACACTCTGTCTTCTGCAGTGAGTCAGTCCCCCATAGAGCCCCAGGTTAAAATGTACATCTTTACAGCAGAATTAAACATGTTTACAGCCGGGTACAAAAATATATTTTATAAGCCATTTAATCCGATAATATTAAGGCTAAGAGTTTTGCATTTGATTTGCATAATTAGGGGCGTAGTTGAGTTGACTGCTAGGAGCGTTGAAGGCGTTTGCCAAGAGGCTTACGGCCTGCCTCAACTCCACCTCTTTGCCTGCTGCTAGGTTGATCGATAGTTATGTAGAGGCATCATTTCCAACATGGCCGCCAAAACGCTCAAAACGCTTCTTAAAAGACCAACGGGTGAAGTCACTGAGACTACATCCATGTTTTAAACTGTCCATGATTCAAGAGAAACGGAGATGGCATCACAATTAACGAAAAACGCAACATCTATCCTGCTGGACTTGTTTCTGCTCCAGAGCCAACCAATCACAATCGGTAAACAAATCATGAATGCATCTATTTCCTTTGTTGCTCATCAGTCACTTCACACAGAGAATTCCAACATCTTCCATGTTCCCTTAATGCAGCATCCCCTCAGTCATTCTCTGACCTTTGCATGACCCCTCCGACGCCCCCTGACAGAATGCCAGGCACCCTGTGCATCCCTCTGTCCTTGTGAGGACATCTGATTCTCAACAGGATGTAACACACAGTACACACACAAATGCAGGGCAGACCTGAGGGGAAGGAAGTTAACAGTGGAGCTCATGTTTGCATGTTGGGATCTGATAAGACTCGTCCTGCTGCGATATGATCTAATATCCTGATACACACACACACTGAACACACAGAGACACTTAGTGTAGGACAGTGTCTCTTTAACTCTCTCTCTCTCTCTCTATCTCTATCTTATCTCTAAACTGCTTCACTCACTCTCTCTCTCGCCCCACCTGTCTGTCAGCACATTGGCTGGTTGCAGCAGTTATTTTATTGCTGTGACATCCATCTGCTGTGGGAGCGGACAAGAAGCCAGTTCAATAAGTGAAAGTCAATCATCGGCTATTTTTAACTCTTCTATATTTCCAGACAGAAACACACAAACACTCACAGTAACAGAGAGTCAACACTGACGTTGATAAATGCTCCAACTCCTCACCTGAGGCCTATTTTATCAAACATCCGGTAGATACAGTCGACACAAACTTTACACGATGGGACGCGTCGGTGTGACCAAATGAAGTTTCCATCATTGTTCTTAACTGGGCGGTCAAAACATTCATAGACTGCAACGTAAACCATTTTAATATACAGCTGATCAACCAATGGAAAGAGAAGTCATCTTTATTTAGAGATTCTGCATAAAATGTAGAACTTGTAGGAATGGGATCACAGAGCGTGGGGCTTAAAGCTCGCAACAACACTTCCATTGATATCAGATACAAAACAAGCACCACCACATGCTGACTCTCAGCTTGTTAGCATTCCTTCCTTGTTTATTGTTTACAAGGTTTTCGACAGGAGCTGAATTATCCAAAGTGACATCCTCCTTTCCCAAACAAAAGATTAAAATCTGTAAAAAAAAACAGAAGCAGTATCAAGCTAAAACACGCTGTTCTTGGGTTAGTACAGGCTTTTAGCAGAGCTGCAGCTAGCTCGTTTGACGCCACTCGACTTGTTTTTGAAGCATGATTCCAGTGTTTGGAAGATGTTGTCGTCCTTCATTAACCATAAGCCAGATAATTTACCTCGATCCAAAATATCTGCAGATGTAGATGTAAAAACAAATACCAAAACAGGAAGTCTCACTCTCAGCTTGTTTTTAGGTTAGCATTCCTTTCCTGTTTATTGTTTACTAAGTCTTCACCCTGAAGCTGTTATACAGAGATCTCCTGCTTTCACTATTCTTTGGTGATCATACAGTAGGTCTTCAAGACGGGTACAGGCCTTGAGGAGGGGCACATGATTTAAGGAGGGGGCACAGGCCTTCCTTCTGGGGGGGGGGGGGCACAGGCCTTCAGGAGGGACAGAGAGCCGAGCTGCAGGCAGCATGATTGTCAGATTAAATTAAACTTGTTTTAATTGTTCACCATGTTCTCCTTTATGTTGACAAGTTGTTGCACCTAGAGTCAAATGATCAGCAGAAGTCAGCTCCAATAATAGATGTTTGATTTAACGCAGGTAATAACACTGAATAAAGTGCTTTTAAAGAGCTACAAGCCAGACCAACACTAACTTCAACCCACTCGTTTGTGTAACAGTGCGTTTAACAGGTAAAACATGAGGCTTGTGTAGGCTGACACAGGAGTGTGTCGCGGCTCTGGACCAGACAAACAGGACTAGGTTAACAGTATGAACTCCTGCATTGAGACTGAGTTAAGTGACGACTACAAACACTGTGTTTCACCCGGAGAAAAAAGATCCAAACCCTCAGTCGAAAAAAGTCCCTGCTGTTGTTTTAGGGATTCATTCAAAAGAGGTTCGGGAAACAAAAAGCAGACCTGTGCTGTAGGACAAAGATTCCTCACATCGAGGTGTTCTCTCGTCCTCAAAAACACACAGAGTGGACACAAACGTCCGACTGTTAAACATGCTATAATGACTTAAAGGTGTTGACATGTCAGGCTCTACAGGCCTGAGATAATCAGATTAAAGATAACGCAGCTGAACACGGCCTTATTGTCTCCGTGGTGACATGCGATCGCTGTGAACAGGAAACCATTTACAACCAGATCTGAGGACTGTAGTGTCAACACTGTTTTATTCCCCGCTTCACATGTTCACCTGCCGTTGTGTGGTGACGTAAGGGGAGGAGTCTTGTTGTTCTCCTCTGTTGTCAGTTATCTGTAGAGATTTTTACTAGGAGCGTGAGGTATTTTTACATCCTGACTTAAAGGAGGGGGCCTCTAGTGGGCGTGATGGCTCTCTGGGAAGAAAAGGCAGACCTCAGGTTTCAACAAGTTACAGCCAAGACTTGTTCATCCATCATCCATCATGTTGACGATAAAAAGCTGTACAGACTACTATTTGGAACTTGTGGAGAAGAATTGGATATGTCATCGTCTGTGTTTAGGGGTCGTATCGGAGGGTTTACAGATACTGGTATCAGTGTTCAAACAACTCAATAAAGAGGCCAAAGAGTTGAGATGCAGTGACAGTCATCTGATCTGTGTTAGTTTGGAGTGTGTCAGTCTTTTTATCCTAAACCAAACAGAAACACACACACTAACCCATGTCTCTTAAAACCCTCAGCAAACAGGATCATCTGCTTCTACTTTCCATCTGCACATCCCCGGTCGCCTGTTCCACTTTCTCATATCCAGGACACTGAGGGGTTTAATGCTGTGTTCATTATAGATGGGATACGACAGGCTTACATGTTCTGACTCTTACGAGGAAGATAAATGTGCAGGTAAAAGTGCCCGTTTTTTCCCAAAGGGGCCAAACGCAGGTTTTTCCCACAATTCTCGGGCTGAGAAACGAGCTGAGCTTTCTGGTCTGGAAACCATTCTGCTGCCGACACCCTCCTCCAGAGAGAGGGGAGAGGGAGTGTGTGTTAAAGGAAGCCTTAAGTGTGTGCACTTTCTTTGTCTTTACTCACACACACACACACACACGTACAGAGCTGTGGTCTGGTGGAGTCATCAGTTTCTCTGCTGGTGTGTTAATTTAATGACTGGCCCTCCACACAACCATGGGTCAATATAAATCAATACAAAGGCCACAATGAGTGTGTGTGTGTGTGTGTTTATGTCTGTGTGCAAGTATGATTTAATATCTGGGCACCT